CTTGCTCCAAAAAGCATCTTTTCAAAGGAAAAGCTATGGAGTGGCTGACCCAAGGATCCAGCAGTTCCAGATGGAGGAAGGATGACGTGGCATTGCCTGACTGTGATCCCATCCCTTAGAGCAGAGCTGGCTGTCGAGGGTAGCAGAGTTCAGGGAGGGAGAAGAAGCATTAGAGGAGGGGACTGTGCTTCCCTGCCCCGTTCCTTCAAAGGCAGTAGCCAGGGCTTAACACTGAGCTGATGGATCCTTGTGTGATAGGAAACTGAGTTCCTCCCTGGGATCATAAAATAAAGGTTGAAAATCACTAGGGAGGTTGTTTGCCTTTGAGCCAAAGGGCTTATTTTCTTCTTGTTGCTGTGGTCAGAGAAAGAGACATGTGGGTTGTCCAGATAACACTGTAGTGTGTGTTCTGTAAGTTTAATATCAGAAATACTAATGGCTGAGTTCTGGCTGGGGGTGCAGGACTAGGCTGATGTGTGGGGAGAGCTGGGTTCCTGGGGGTACCCCCTCTCCCAGACTGATGCAGTGAGAAAGAGGAACTATTATCAGTCCTTGAGAGGAATTTCCTTGAAGCTGTGTTTGATTCCAGTGAAACTTCTATCTCTTTTCTGTTTAATTAAGGCTGTTTTTTCTAAAGACGGCTCAGAAGAGGCTCCCATCTGAGTGCTGAAAGCCAGAAGGAGCCATTCTTGTGGTAGCTGGAGCCCAACAGGGGAAATAGCAGCAACCTCACAGCAAAGCTGCCCTGTCCATTCCTGCAGCCCCTCTGCGCAGGATGGGGAAGCAAACATCCGGGTTGGATTCACCCAAACCACCAAGTATTTGTAGCTGACTCATGACTGCATGTGAATCAAGCCATTTTTTTTGAGCCAGACTTTCAGCTATTGCCTTCCCATCTGTTTTGTAGTGCAGGCTTTTTGGAAGCCCAAAGGATGCCCTTTAGGTACCAGTCGCTCAGCCTGGTGTCACTGCTGTCAGGGTTGACCAGTCAGAGGGGTTCAGGAGACAGGGACAGGGCCTGGTGGGGGTGATAAAGTTTCATCTGACCCTGTTTCTGTCATTTAGTTTCTTTTCTGGAGCAGCTGTGCTCCAGAATCCAGAACAAGGGATCTGGGATGATGCCAGCAGGATAAGGATGTGCCCATGCTCTGAACCGTTACTGTACATGTGACTTGGGGTCTCACTGCACTGGCAGAGCTGGGGCACGGGGAGCTCTGGGTCACCCCTTGCTTCCTTTCCTCACTGAAGACTTTGGGTTGACATGGCTTAGTCCAACCTGTGCAGCCAAGGAGCCGCCCGGAGCGGGGCAGCCGCTGTGTCCTGAGCAGAGCCTGTGTCCAGGGCAAGCACCGATGACAGGCTTTATCAAGTGGAACATCTGAGGGCTGCCAGACTGTCTCCCAGACAGGGATTAGGTGGTTTGGAAGCTCGCTGGTGGCTGGGATCCCTAAGCTTTCACTTTATCATAGAGCTGCACTGAACCTCTACTACTCTGCAGACACCCAGCTGGGTTTGCATTTATGGAACCAATGGATTTGTCATGATAAAACTCAAACATCCCAATTGCTTCCAATAATTTAGACATTTTCTTGGTGTGTTACAGTTGTACATCCTGGGCCTGTGTCTGTCCAATTTAAATGCAGGAGCTTAAAACAACACACCAAGCAGGATTTATGCTTGTGGATGTTCAGAGGCTCTAAGACTTCTGGGGTGATGCACTAAAACAACAGCCCAGTTAATGACCAGTGCGGTGCAGTGGGAGCCCTGAAGAATTCCAGTATTTGTGGAGCTGCTGCTGGTGCCAGATGAAGTCACTGGGATTGGCCTCGCCAGCTGTTTGTTTTGGTGAACCACAGCGATCTCTCCACGTTACTGCAGTTGATGTCATTGGAAGTGATGTGACATTTTTGCGCACATATAGAATAAGTGTTAAAAAATGCTCCAGAAGAGCTTTTCCAGCCTTGTCTGGGAGCTGGATGGGGACTTGAACTCAACTGGCTTGGTGGGACTTAACCTATAAAGCAAATGAATCATCAGGCACAAATGGCTTTACCATAAATGTCAGATTCTCACTGGTCCTAACAGCACTTACATGGGTTTGGTGGAGCATATAAAAGCCTTGGGATGCACAATCACTTTCATAAATGTGCTGTCCTGCCTCTTCCTCTTCATGGGAAGCTCTAGGAATAAAGGTCGAAATAGGATTTATTCCTTTTTTACAAAACCAGCTCTGACGGGTGAAATTGGTTATTTTCAGGCAAAGATTGACTTTTTGTGTGTGTACCTGTGCCTTGCCTCTGTGTGCTAACAAGTACCCCAGGTACTGGAGTGCTTTCTGGAGCCCCCTGTGCCCAGATGTGCCCATCTTGTTCCTATGCCAAAGGAAGACTTCACCCATCTGCATGAGTGGCTGGAGGATGCTGTGCTGGTGGCCTCTGCTTTGGAGCAACACCAGTGTGTTGCTGACTTGCTCCCTGACTTAGACACCTCTTTACTTCAAAATGAGTCTCAAACCCCCAAAATGTCTTGGCTGGTAAAGTCTTTAAACCACTCTCAGTGTGATTGTGAGTTTTCTCTCTTACAAAGGCTTCATGGAAAATCCGTTGCTGTTGCATGTGTGTGGAAGGGGGGAAGTTAATGGTATCTCTGTTATCGCTGCTCCTGCTGAGAAAAGCAGATGCTGACATAGGAAGGAGAGGGGTTGGGGTGTCCTGTGTAACCACAACAGTGAAACAAGTAGAGGCTTGAGTGAGGGAGGGCACGGGGCTGGGGGCAGTTATCTCCTGGTGAAATTTATTAGCAGCAGCACACTTGAGAGGACACAAAAGGCTCCCAGCACAGCCCGCTCTATTTAAAGTGGCTTTTTAAATCAAAGCAATGGGGCTCTTGACAGCAGAGCTTTGTGCATCTTTTGTGGAGTTCAGAGAGTGGGGCTCTTTATTGCAGGCTAAATTAGCCCATTTTATTGTTTTGCACTGAGGGATGAGGTCAGTTGAGTGGGAATCTTGCTAACAAGATTTTACTCCTGTCTGGTTTTACACAGGGTACCCACCAGTGCTGTGCACTTGCTGGTAATGAAACAAAGATGAATGGTTTAGCACCCCGTGAGCTCTCCTTTTCCCCCCACCACTGAGCTGCTCAGCCCATGTCTGTCCTGGAGCTCAGATGCTCCCTGGGGCTTTGGGTCTGTTGGTTTCCCTTCTGACCTTGCATGCTTGCATGTTGCTGCTGGAACAAGAAAAGGATGGGCTTTGCTGGGCAGAGTGATTGATTGGGTTTGAAAAGGAAACAGGAAAACAGTAGGCATGTTGAATGATGCTCATGGACCGTGGTGAGCTTTGAAGGAGCTGTTTGAGGTGGTTCACGCTCTTTCCTGGCAACCTTCACATATCAAATCTGGACAGTTATGCACTGATTTTCTCAGGTTCTTGACCCAGAACTAGCAGGAAGCTTCCCTTGTTCATTCTCTCCCCTTGGCAGCATCTCCTGGACCAACACTGTCCTTTGAGTTGAGTGAGGTTGGGGTTTGTGCCATGGCCCCAAGACCTAAGCCTGTACCTCTGGGATGTTCAGAGAATGTCTTCCCATGTGCTCTAAGGTGCTGCCTATGCCTTGAGCTGTCAGACCTGGATGATGCTCAGCTCCCAGTGTGCTGCAGGGAAGCAGGGTGGCATTGAGCCAGGCTCTCTCCTCATGTACAGCTCAGGACCTGCCATCAGCTGAGACTAAAAGCAAACTCAGCTTTAGCAAATTCTCTTCTGCTTAACCTTTTGCACTGTGTTTAGCCAACATGCCTTTCTTTGCTTTATCTATTCCTCAAGGAAACACAGTCATAGTTCTGGTCACTTATAGGATGCAGACTATCAGCTCTCCTTGAGGTGTAAATCCAGCCTTATCAGGAAGAAAAAGCTTTCAGCCTTCCTTCCTTGCCTCTCAGAGACAAGTACCAAGTCTGCTTTTGTGGCTGTTTTATTTCATCTTATCCCAACAGTTCCAGACATTCCCTATAATCCGATGGAAACTGAGGCGCTTTAACCACCTAAGTGACAAGGGCGTTAATGGCTTAGCCTGGGTGTCAATGAGGGGCAGGGTGGTTGAGGTTCTGTGGGCAGAAATAGCAGCTGGAAGGATCTTCCCATCAATCAACTTTAAGCCAATTTCCTTGGCCAGGTTGGGCATCCTCCAGTGGAGGCCGCTCCAAAGGGGCAGCCTGGTGTGATGCTCTGAATGCCTGTGAAGACAGGGATGAGAATAGTGATGGATGGTGTTAGAAACCCAGTAACACCCCCAGCTCCTTCAGGTCTCTGCTCAAGGCTGGGTGATGTCCTCGGGGTCACACCACAGCCACGTTCCCCACATGGGTCACAGTGTCAGGCAGTGGCTGGAGCTGGCTGGGAATGGGAAACATTCTATGAGGCAAAAACTTGGCATTTTCTGTGTTCCTGATGCTGCATCCCCAGTGTTGGTGGTTCCATTGAAAAAGCAAAAGCCAGAACGGTGACAGAACTGCTCTATGGGTCTGTTAAAAAGAAAAAAGGGAAGGAAAGAATATTTTTCTATTAAATTAGAAATTTGAAAACCACTTTGCAGACATTTCTGCTAATTTTGTAAAGGTTATTCACAGGAAACAATGATTAATAAGCTTAAACCAAAGCTCAATTTTAAGGTAGCTCATGCAGTACCTCAGAGGTGCCCAGATGTTGTGCTGGGCTGCTGCAGTAACCTGGAAATCAATTTGGTTATCTTTTGGGAAGGTGTATTTGGGACCAGGCAGGAAGCACAGTGGCTTCACGCCTCAGAGCAGCCTGAGATAAGTGGCTGCTTGACCTGGCACTGGGCACAGAAGGTTTTCACTTGGCTCAGCCTGGGTGATGTGCCCATGTCAGGGAGGTGGCGCTGCCAAGCGTTTTGCTTTTCCTTTCCCGGTGGTGTTTATCCCCTCAGCTGCTGTCTCATGCTCCATCCATCCCCATTAACTGTCGGTGTTTCCTTCCTTGCAGGGTGATATTCAGCAGCTCCTGATCGTGGCGGACCCACGAGCAGCCCATGATTACTGTGAACACTACAGCCCCGACTGCGACACTGCCATCCCCGACTCCCCCCAGTCCCAGGACCCCAACCAGGATGAATATGTAAGGCTCCTGTGGTGTCTGGGGATGCTTCTGGGCAGCTCCATAGTGTGGTTGCAAACACTCTGCTCCTTCCTCCCGCTGTGCTTCCCTGCAACTGATGTGTTAGTGCTGAGACAGAGCTTGTTTGTAGGATGTGCAGGTTCTGGTCTTGGCTCTTGCTCTCGGGAGTTTCCTTTCTGGGACCCTTCCAGTTCCAGAGACTGAAATGAATTTTCACGGTGAGCTCAAAACCATGCAAGAGAGACAACCTGAGCCGGGTGTGAAACACCGACCTTCCCTGGCAGGTGAATGCTGTCCAGAGCAGGCGCCTGCTTCTAGATTCCAACTTTTACTGTCGAACTTTTAAAAAGATTTAGCAGTTCTTTTCCAATATTCTCTGAAAACAGGTGTTAAAGGAGGGGGAAACGCTTCTGCCCATGCGTTTGACATTTGAATTTCATTTGGCTCCAGCTCATCTGCACAAGCTGCTGTGCTCAGTATTTTTTCTACAGTTAGCCCCAGATCTTTCCTTTAACAAAAGAAAAGAAGGGAAGGACTGGGACAAGATGCCTTCTTATTGCTGCTGCTCCATTAAAGATGTCTGAGTGTGGCTGATTTCCAGAAGAGCATCACCTGAATTTTATACCCTCTTAAGAGGTCTCAGGCTCAGCTCACAGCAATTGAAGTGCCTGACATCCTCAGCTGCTTTGCAGCACCTTGGCTGCTCTCTTGGATGGACTTGCTGGTCTCAGATCTGTGGTCTCCTGCCAAATCCCCACAAATCCTGGAATGGTTTTGGTTGAAGGGAGCTTAAAGCTCATCCAGCTCCAACCCCTGCCACGGGCAGGGACACCTTCCACTAGAGCAGGTTGCTCCAAGCCCCTGTGTCCAACCTGGCCTTGAACACTGCCAGGGATGGGGCAGCCACAGATTCTCTGAGCGCCCTGTGCCAGCGTCTCAGCACCCTCACAGGGAAGAGCTTCTTCCTAAGAGCTCATCTCAATCTCCCCTCTAGGAAGCTGTAATGCCAGCAGCCTGCTTTGGCTTAGCTTTGGGGCTTAATTAAAACCCCAGGCAGGGCTTTGAGGAGCGGGTGATGCTTGCTGGGCACCCAGCCCCAGGGAAGTGCTGTAACCGCTGAGCCAGCTCTTCTGGAGAAACAATAAATAAGTAAAATAAAATAGACCTCGGTATAGTCAAAATATGTGGTAGTAGGAAAATAAAACTCTTCTTTTGGAGCCAGCAGCTCAACAAGGGCTGGCTTGTTTTAGGGCTGTGTTGCTCCATGTAAGAATAACTCTTCCATGCACCAGTGTCTGCTGCCAGTGAGAGCGATGGACTGGCAAAGAAATTTGCCATGCCTGGCTGTAACCAAACGTTCTGTTTGTATTTCATTTTGAAGAATGACTGACGCCTTGTGGAAAACACTGAAAATATCTTGCTTTTGGAGCCCTATGGGCTGCGGGTGGATGGGAAGTCACATGGATACTATTAGTGCTTAGAGTGAAAATAGCATCCCCACTTCGCAGAGTGGCTGCGCAATTCAAGTGTGTTCTTCCCGCCTCTCTCAGTATGTCACAAGTGTGACCTGGGAGGTCCCAACAGTCCAAGGCTAAAAAAAACCCCAGTGTTTTTTCTTCTTGTGTTATCGTGGGTGACTGAACTGCTGCAGGTTTGGACTATCCTCTCTGGTCAGGGAGAACATGCCACAGGACCAAGAGATGATTTAGAACCTCGTCAAATCACAGCCTTGCAATAGCAGCCCAAAGCCTTGGGGAAGATTTCATAGAAGCTGGTGAACAAGAGGAAGGGAAAGATTTCAGTGCATGGATCTGCATCACAGCATGGCCCTGTTGACATGAAATAATGTATAAAAGAGGTGGCAGAAATGTGCTTGGGTGCTGCCAGCTTATTTCGTGTTTCTCGTCTTCTCTTTGCAGTACACTGACGCGGAGGGTGAAGGTGACACCTACTATTATGAGTACCCCTACTACGAAGATGTTGATGAATCTGTAAAACCAGAAGCTCCCACCACCAAACCCAGCACTCCTGAAGTGGCTGCTGGAGAGACACCTGAAACCAAGCAGGTACCGATGCAGGGTCCTGGCAAAGATGCAGCTGATAAACAGCACCTTTGTAGAAGGGGAGGTGAAGGATGGTGCAGACGTTTTGCTTTTGTTTCTCTGATTCTGGTATTCTGTTCCTGTGATAGGACTATCCTGCTCCCACACCATCTCCTGATGGAGGGGACCCGGGCAAGCAGCCAAAAGAGGATACTACAGTGGGTGATCCCCTTGTGGATGAGTACAACTATGAAACCATTAACGAGGAGTACTTCACACCGCTGCCCTATGAGGATGTCAACTACAATGAAGAAGTAGACCCACAGGGGGGACTCACTGAGAACGCTGTGGAAGCTGAACTCCCCACGAGCACCGTCGTCACCTACAATGAGAGCGATGTAATTTCAGTGACTGCTTTTTCCTTTTGCTTTGTGCTTTTGATGAATTGTGGAGTTTCAGAGCCCTGAGAGCAAGGGGGATGTGATCACCCATGTGGTAAATCTGTCAAGGCTTTGGGCAGCTCTCGCAAGAGGAAGTTTCATGTGAAATATTTTCACTCCAGATACTTCAGGGTGTGGAACGCAGATATTGAGAATTTGGTGAAGGATTATTCCCCTGGAAAAAAGTGCTCATGCTGATATCTGCATTTTCCTCTGTGAAGTGCTTGTGTGTGTGACAAGAAGAAAAACGAGGATTGGTGTTAGAATCTAAGTAAAATCATTTTATTTCAAAGCTATTAATATAAATCCTTAAAACATTGATTTGATGGAAAACATCACTGTTTTTCATCTTGTCATTCCCATTGAACATCTTCAGGGGGTTAGATTGTAATATTTAAAAAACCCATTTCAACACTGGGACCAAACTCTTGTATCTACCAGAGTGAGCCCCTCTGCTTGGTTCCAGATCTGCTCAAAGGGGAGAGCAGTCCAGGTCCCACAGCTGGTGTTCAACAAGTAGATGAACATTGGTCTCATTTTTAGATGAGCCTTAGACAAGTCATCCTGTAGCCATGTGCTGTGTAGCTCATTATGTAAGGAAATAACAGTGTTAGATGAGGCAAATTTTGTTATCCAGGAGCATCAGCAAGGGGAGTTGATAGCGGGATAATGTTTCTTGGGAGATAAGATGCGGCTTGGCAGAATTTTGTGGTCGTTATGGGAGACCCAGCACCCTGGGGCTGGTGGTGCAGGGGGATCGTGTCCAGCCAATCAGTATAGAAACTGTGGTGGAGGAGGAGGTTGAGCCACCCAAAATGATACACAGAGAAACAGAAAAGGCTCCAGTGTATCGAGGAAGCGGGCGCCGACCTGAGGGAACCCATGGATGGGAAACTTTGCTGTTTCCTGACAAAGAGCCAGAAATCTTTGGCTAAGCTTGAACTTTCTAACAGAGAGGAATTAAAGATTGGATAGCGTGACCTTAGAAAAAATTGGAGGAGGAAATAAGAGGCTTTAGGGCTGCTTTAGTTGTTAGGAAAAGGAAATAGAAGAGGAGGAAAGTTCAGGTAGGGAAACACATGGTGAAGCTTTCCTATGTGAAAGCTCAACCCTCTCTCAGCAAAGCATCTCATGGGGACAGAGTGCACTGTCCCCCTCCAGCAGCTCCAAAAGAGAGGGCGTTTGCATAGGGAAGGCTGCAGGATGGCTCCTGGGGCAGGAGTTTGCTCCAGTGAATCTGTTAGCTGAGGAGCGGTGCAAAGGACACAACTTGCCTGGCTGAAGGAGATTCCCATGCACTGAGGCAAGGGCTAATGCAGTGTGACATAGAGAAGACTCCCAAGAAGTGCCAGCCTGAGAAACAAGCACCCAAGAGGATATGGATTGAAGGTTCACACCTCAGAGTGGGAGTTAAGGGCCCTGCCTGCAGCCAGGAACTCCTGGGGAAACCGAGTCCTTTAATCCAGCAGCAGACCAGGCTGCTTTATGAGCAGTATGGAAGTGGGGATCGGGATCTCTTGAGTGTAATTGCCTGCCTAATACCTGTTATTGGGAAGAGGCTTTCAGTGGGAGCCCTGGCTGCTGAAGGGGCTGGAGAAGGTGATTTGCCCTTTTAAAAAAAAAAAAGAAAGAAAAAATCTATTAAAAATCTCATAAGTGTTTTGGCTGGTTCAGGAAACAAAGTGCTCATGGCCATGGGTCCATGTGGTGCGATTTCACCTCCCAGGCTCCTGACGGCGCTGCCTGGCACTGTTGGAGTTCACCTGCCTGTATTTGGGAAGACTCCAATTCCTACAGTGGGAATTAAAAGGGGATTTGGTTTTGTACAAGCGAAACTTCATGGAGCCACTGTGAGAGGTTTGAGAGGCAGAAGCAGGCGCTGAGCTCTCCTGGGCTGGGCTTTCATCATGGCTCATAAGTCCTGATAAATGCTGGGGAAGCAATTCCGAGATTTAGTAGGCAGCAATACTCCCGAGAACAAGAGGAGCTGGGAGCAGATAGATTCTGTTCATTGCCTGCTATTCATCAGGTGGTTTGCTTTACTTGTCCAGATGCATATACCAGCGTTTCATATCTGCATTGCTTCTCCGAAGGGAGGACTAAAAGGAGATTTAAATGAAGCTGTTAGCAGCAAAGCGGAGGCACAGTGTTCCGCACACTGATTTTTGGGCCTCCTCTTTCCTTTACAGGCTGGTTTTGGTGGTCTAAGAGAATTTTTGAGGAGCTGATTTTGTGGGTTTTGTTTTGGTTTTTCTCCAAAGCACCTGCAGCTCTCAGCATGCAGAACTTTGCTCCTCCTCTGCCCAGTTATTCAGGCGTATCTTCCCATGCAAATGGATTTTAGGACTTTAATCAAAATATCATCCCAGACATTTTTGATGTTCATTTAAAGCAATGCAACCTGGAAAAAGCTTGCTATGTTATCCCCAGAAGCTTTGTAGCGAGATAAACAGGTTTTAAGGTTTCAAAGTGCAAACCTACATAAAAGATTGCAAACAGGATAAAAGAGAGTGTGATAGCACCTGATCCATTTGAACAGCACAAAGGAAAAGTGATGCTAACTTTTCTGAGCCTTCTAATTGAGTAATTGCCAAGCTACAATTCCTGCAGAGACCAGTTGGTGTTTGCAGACGTAAAAGAAGAGGGGGTGTCAGAGCAGTGGCTGCCTTAGCACTAGGCTTATTCTTGTTTAAAACCTTTTGAATTTGGGTGCAGATACTCAAGCAATTTTGGCACCGAAACAAGATCTGGAAATGATGGTGGCATTTAAGGGATTTTGAATTCATAGTAGTGAGGAGATAGTTTCTCTCGGAAGCACTGGAAATAATTCAATTTATGGATCATTTTGGTCATTACCTGGATGGGAAAGAAAGAAAAAGAAACCCCAGCACCAGCAGCACGTGTTCTTTACAGTGCTGCTCAGAGCAAGGATGCCAAGAGGCAGTTGCCTGCCAGGCTGCAGAAAGCACAAGGGGATGGAGACAAGCAAGGAAATTCTGATGCTTGTCTGGATGTCCTTGCCCAGCATCTGCTGCTGGAAGGATTCAGGAAGGATTCAGGGATTAATGCATCAGATCTGTAAAAACTTCTGCTTCTGCTTTTTGCACAATTCCAGTCACAGTCTGGATCCCAGAATAAGCAAACAGGAGGCTTTGATAGAAGTGAACTTGGGGTTTTCCACATTTCCTCCTGTAACCAGATACTCAGAACAAAAGATTGAGGTTTTGGTGGGCATTTTAAATATGGGACTGGATGTGTGACTTCTTGTGCTTAATAATCAGCGTCTCTGATACCAAGGCTGTAAGAGATGAGGAGGGCTTGGGGTTTGAATCTACCATTCCCTCTTTCTTCAGGCTTTTAGAGTTCACAGGATGCTCCTGACGTGAGCAGGTCCTTTGTGCTCTGCTTCGTTTTCCTTGCTCATGCTTTTACTCAGTGTTATTTCAGGGATTGACAGAGGAATCCCAAGGAAAGCCAGGGTGTCTTTGACGTAAAGACCCTCCCATCTTTCTTCCCTGTCACTGGAGACTTTAAAACTCCAGCATTTAACTTTCCTTATGCTTTTTCTTTGTAAATATTATTATAATGCATCCTCACATCGCAAACCGTGCACCCCTTATTTCCAGCATGTGCAACCTGATGAGTTGCTGCTCTTTTGCTTCCAGGCTGCTCAGGGAGGAGACGACCTGGATAAAGATTTCACTGAGGAAACAATAAAAGAATACGATGGGAATTACTATGATAACTATTATGACCGAACAGTCTCTCCGGACATTGGCCCCGGCATGCCTGCCAACCAGGACACCATCTATGAAGGGGTAAGAGAGTTAATTTTCCATGGAGGGTGAGTCTGGTTTAAAATGCTTGTCGCCCCATAATTAATAGCAAAAAGATCAGCAATGCAAAAACCAGAGACATCACCTCACTTGGATTCTCTCCCCTGCACAGAATGTGCTTTGCACAGGGCAAGGAGGTGCCTGTTTCTCTTCAATGTGAGCATCAGCATCCTTCTGGGGCAGAAGTTGTCCCACGATCTCCAGCTCCTGCTTGGAGCAGTGATGCTGGTGGAGTGACGTCCTCTCTGACTCACTGGTTTTGTGTTTCCCTTGTGTGCTGCAGATCGGTGGCCCACGGGGCGAGAAGGGACAGAAAGGGGAGCCCGCGATTATTGAGCCGGTAAGGACCAAGTGGTGTTGGTTGGAAAAGTCCTAGGGGTATGTTTGGTGTGGCTTGGGGTGCTCTGGTACAGCTGGGAGGAGAATTTCCCATGGAGGAATTACTTGGTTCATTTAAAAACTTCAAATATAAAATACCAGAATTTTTTCTTTTAAAAACTTCAAGAGTGGCTGAAATCATGAAGTATTTCCCATGAAATCTCTCATTGACCAGAATAAACCCCAGGCCTTTCAGAGGGGGGAAGCATTAGACAGAGGGCAGGTCTTGCCTCTCTGGAGGTTTGAAGTGCCCCCAGCTCGCAGTGAACCCACTCTCCAAGCGCCCATGGCTGGGTCACATCCTGACCTGAACTTGCAGCTTTGGACCAGCTTTAATTGTGCAACTAATGAATTAACATCTGCGGAAATGAAGAGGTTCACACAGCGGTGGCAGAGGAGGGGTTTGCTCCTGCTCCAGGGTCCCGCTGGCTTTCAGACAAAACCTGTGTCATCTGAAATGATCCCAGTATTTGCCTGTTTCTGAGGTTGTTGTTCTTTCTAAAGAGCTGCCTGTGCCCTCTGCAATCAGCAAAAACTGTGGTGTCCAACTGGGCACCCCATTAGGTGAGGATGGAGCTGTGGTAGCGCTGGCTGCAGATTGCTCAGAGCAAGAGGCTGTGGGTTGATGGCCATATGTGTGTCCCCCCTTGGGTACTGGGATGCTGAGGTGCTCCCATGGCTGCTCCTCCCGGGCTGGAGCTGGGGCTGCAGGTCTCTGCAGCCGCCTTCTCACATGCTCCCATGTACCAGCAGCTCAATTAACCAGCAGCTCAATTAACCTCATTTCTATGGCAGGGGCCCAGCGCGGTGGCACTTCCCATCACTTGGAGGCTGTTATTTCTCTTTAATTCTTCCTCCCTTTCCTTCTTTGCCCGACAGTTCTACAGATGAGGGGAACAAGGGGAAGCTGGGGTGCAGCAGCAAGGCTTGAAAAGCCTGAATTGAGGGTCTTGTAAAGGTTTTTCTGACCTTTCCTTCCTTCTCTTCCTTCCTGAGGCTCGCTCCCACTCTGCAGACAAAAGGAGTGAGCAGTTTGCCTATCAGAAGTGTGGGAAGGGTGGGGGGCAGCTGAACCCCAGGGAAATGATGGCAGAAACCAGCCTGCCCTGTCCAGAGCCCATCTGAAACGCTACAAAGCCAACAAAACAGTTAAGTTTAATCATCCAGAAAGAATTTGGCTGCCTTCACTATTTCAAAACACTGGAGCATGTATTGCTTTTGCCAGAGAGTAAACAAGACCAAATGCCGCCTTGTCCCTCTCCGTGCGGTTCCTCTTCAGCACAAACCCGGATTTGCTGCGCTCTTTAGCTCTTTTTTCCCGATGGGAGCTGCAGCAGAGGGGGAATAAAACCCAAAGGCATTAGTGGGATTCTGCAGGATTTTTCTCTCCGTTTCCTTCCACCCTCCCGTCCTTCAATCCTTGCTCGGTGCTGACACTTGCTGGAGGCAGCGGGGCAGCACAGCTGCAGGGTGAGGAGGGATGAGCTGGGGATGGGTGGTGGGACCCTGCAACCCTGGAGGCACCAGGCTGCCTGTGCTTGGGGGGGACCCTGGTGCTCCTGCCTGCCCCAGGCAGGGTGTGATCAGCCTTTACACACAACTCTGTGTGCTGCAACCAGCGTCTGGGCTGCTTCTATGACATGAGCTTCACTTGTGGGTAGCACCTGGATGTTGATTGAGTTGGGAGCAACACCCTGTTTTCCCCTCCGACAGTCCCAGCTCCATGGTTTGCTTGCTCTACCCCCAAGGCATAGCCCTTGGTGGCATTCCCTCCCCCCTGGTCCTGGTCCCCAAACCCTCCCACGTTTCCATTGCTCCTGTTGATGAGCAGTCATATAAACAGTGGCGGTTTCTTGCCAAGGAGAATCTCCAGATGTCCCTAAAGCTTGAGCTCAACATAAACCAACAGATAAATATGGGAGGATGCCAAGGATGTTTGCATTGCAAATCGGCTCATTAGCCCCGGCTCTTCCCCCACGCTGAGGAGCGGCCCCAGGCTCTGCAGCTGGCCATGGGAAGCAGAACCTCAGTGCTGTGCATGTTTAGCCATGGCATAGTCACCCAGCAGCTCAAATGTGTCCTGGGGAGACCTGTGTGGGCTGTAGCTCTGAATCAGCCCAGACACAATTACTAGTGTCTGGTCTGGAGCCTGCCATAGTGAAACGTGCCATCGCTGGTCTCAACAGGGATGGACCATGGGGTGTCCATGTGGGGAAACAGTAGCTGGGACCTCTGGGGTTCCCTGCACAATGTCATCATGTGCCTGAAAAGGAGCCAGTGTTTAGTGGATGTCCTGGGGGACGCCTTCTCCATCAGCATCTTCTTGGTCACCTCCAACAGCAAATAGCTTACACTTAGTGCAGGACAGAGGAATGTTGTTTAGGGTTCACCCTAATTCCCATCCAGGCAGGAGCAGTGTCTCCATGGCAGGCAGGGAAACTGCTGTCAAAATAGGCACAGGGTGAAGCCCACAACCTAAATTCTTTCCTGGTGAAGAATGGCTGCACAGACGCTTCCTTCTGCGATGGCAGCAGCAACAAATTTCCCCTGACACATCCAAGTGAGGTGGGAGCCAGGTTTTATATGAGGTGCTAATGAGTAGCATGGACACTGTAAGAGACAGAAAACAGCACTGGCCATGCATTAGCATTAGTAGTGTAGAAACATAGATCCCACTAATGGAAGTAGGGATAGGTTGTTTTGTACCCTACTTTTTGCTCCTCTGGGCTCAGAAGCTGTGGCTTTTGGGGCAGGAATGGCCGGATTTCCCTTTACCATTTTCAATGGGTTCAGAAAAATGGCTGCCACATGGTCAGCCGAGGTGTTTAGCACGAGCTGAGTCCAGGAGACCTGCCAAGGGTGACCTAAGGCCAGTCCCTGCACTTGCTGCCTCCTGGCTTCTCCCATATGAACTCACTGCTTATCTACAGGGTTTTACTGGCAGATTTCATCCCATAGGATAAGTGTCCCTGTTTGCTGTCCATGAACTGGGCAGTACTGGGATGGCTTTGGCTCACCCTGGGTGCTGCTGGGGGTCATGGTCACTGGCCCAGAGGGAACAGGGCAGTGCTTGACAAGGGGCTCTTCCCAGCACATTGTTCTGATGCTGTCAGGAAAGCATTTGCTGGGATTATTGAGAAATTTCTTTTCTGCCTCTTATGTAGCCATGAGGAGGGGCAGGAGGGAGAGAAAAAGCTCGATCCTACTGAGTACATGATAGACCTGATTTAAAGTTATGACAAAATATTTAGATTAAAAGGAATGGAATAACATTATTCTACCATTTTGCTCACACAGTGATTTCCTGGGTACACAGATAAATCACAGCATGCGGGCTGCTGGGAAAGTCATTTAAAACCCTCACTATTTGATTATTAACATTTTTTTTAGCTGGTTGTGTCTAGAAACAGTTTCTTCCTGAAGAGGAGTTTTTCTCCTGTTTCAGCACCATCCAGGCTGGATGTGCCCCCATGTTTGCCCTTTGCTGGCCATGAGCTGAGGGCAAAGGGTTGTGGTTGGGAAGGTGACTCTGCTGGGTGAGGGTGGGGCTGGGGCTGGGGCTGTTTTACCATGCCCCCTGTGATTTAAATAGATGGTATTTGGCTCTTCAGTGGGCAATGCCTTTTGTGCCTCTCATCCAGAGAGAGTGGAAACACTGCAGCTTGGGGCTACTCACACCCAGCAGCAAGAACTGGAGTATTTCAGAGCAGAGGAAGCATTGGGCTTTCCAGCCCTGTGGGCAAAGTGACTTTGAGGATGTGCCTCGCTAATCTGTTTCTGTCTTTCTTCCCTTGCTCAGGGTATGCTGGTGGAAGGCCCCCCCGGTCCCGAAGGCCCAGCAGTAAGTGGCCCTTTGTCTGCACTAAAGGGTGCGCGCGGCTCCGGGGTGCTGGATGCATGTGAAGGGCTCCGCACGCTGCCAGCCCCGGGCTCTGTTGCTTCCATGTACCCAGGGAGTGTGCAGAGAGCTCTGGGTCCATTTCCTGGTGCAAAACTAAACAGAAAGCTCTGACGCTTTCCCTGATCTGTTACATGTTACAAATATGTAGCACACTTGTTACACTGTTATAAATAACGCAGTGAAACATATTTGCTACTATGCCATGACACTGTGCAACATAGTTGTTACAATGATATAAGTAACGGCAATTTGCAATCTAGTTGTTACAATGTTGTAGATAATGGCACTTTTACCATAGTTGTTACCATGTTCTAAGTAACGGCCATTTGCAATCTAGTTGTTACAATGTTGTAGATAATGGCACTTTTACCATAGTTGTTACCATGTTCTAAGTAACGGCCATTTGCAATCTAGTTGTTACAATGTTGTAGATAATGGCACTTTTACCATAGTTGTTACAATGTTCTAAGTAACGGCAATTTGCACTGTGGTTGTTACAATGTTGCAGGTAATGGCACTTTGCAACATAGTTGTTACAATGCTGTAAGTAACTGCACTTTGCAGCGTAGTTGTTAGTGTTACAAATAAGAACACCTTTTCCATTAGCAGCTTATTTTTTTCCTGTCTTTTCCACGCTAGGGTCTTCCAGGACCTCCAGGACCAACCGGACCCGTGGGCTTGATGGGTGACCCTGGGGAGAGAGTGAGTACCTGTGGTTTTCTCCTCTTTGGGGCATTTTGTATGTACAAAGTGGGGTTGTGGTGTATCAGGGGAGCCCTAAAATACTGTTTATGCTGTAGTAGATTATTGGACTGTACCAGTGAGCACTGGAAACTGATGGATGTGTTTTAGCAATGCAGAAACTTGGGGTTTGCATCTTTGATTTTGATGTTACTTTAAATCACTTTTGTCAGTGACAGCCACTGGTTTGTGAGATGCTGCCTGCAGAAGTCTCCAGCTCCAGGGTGTCTCAGCTGCTCCCAAAGCACTTTTGTAGTCTGAGACCCAAATCCCACAGTTGAGCACCACACTTTGGTCAGAGTTGCAAATTTATTTGTTATTTGCTGGGTCCTCACCTGGGGTCAGGATCGACCTGTGGTTTTGGGAGCTGCTGGACTTGAGCCTCGGGTCAGTGTGTGGTCACCAGCACCATGTGAGCAGCAAAATGTGCGGTTGGGATTGAAGGAAATTAAAACTCACTCTGTGAGCTGAGTCTCTGAAATGACCCTCGCACCAATAAAAGGTTTTGCTTTTTTCCAGCCTATTTTAGCCTGTTGCCCCGTCCTGGCAGAGGCACTCAGGCAAGTGGGTCCCTGTCTGGTATCCAATGGGACCAGGCTACCCATCACTTCCAGCCCTGTGCTCAGCAGGGATTGTGCCTTGACATCTAGTGAAACACTCACCGTAGCACCGACGGCCTCTGGCTTTGCACAGCAGCTGAGATGGGATCATTCTTGGCTGCTGGAGCAGCTCAGTTTGGGCCTGAAACTAGAGGAGTGCCCTTGAGCAGTGCTGGTTTGGGTGATGGAGCACTGCTGTCGGGCTGTGCTGGCAGGAGCACAGCGGTTCCTGCCCGGTGCAGCCCAGTGGAGCAGTGAGTGCTGCAGGCAGCTGAGCAGCAGCGCAGGGCCTGCGGGTACCAGCAGCAGTCGCTTCGCATGAGTAAATCATTGATTTCAGCAGCTTTGTGAGCAAAACAAATGGAGTTTGGAGCTTGACACCATTTGGGTGCTTTGGTGCATCTTGATGTTGAGAGCAGTCAGACATGCTTTCAGAATAGCTTCTGGTGTTCTGCTGTTTCAGTGGGCTCCCAGCAGCGCCATCAGCTTCCACCTGCAGCTGGTTGTGATCTGAGGCATCCTGAGAATCCCATTAGCAAAGAGGGCAATAAATGTGCCTTCAGGTGGGTTTGTGAAGGCAGGCTTGGCTGGAGGTTTGTTTTTCCAGAGTTCTTCCTGGAAAGCGCAGGAGGGAGGGGAGACAGCAGGGACACAGATCAGAGGAGATGTGCCTGAACATGCTACATCCCAGCTTTTCCCTTTCCAGAAATCCCAAACAGAAATCCATCTGTTCCCTTTCCTGTCTGATGTACCCTTGAGCTGTTGTCCTTCCCCAGTGCTGCCCTTGCTCTCATTCCTCTTCCATTGAGGTTGTTCTCATCAGCAATAAGGAAGAGATGGGAAACTGCCCCTCTGCGTTTAGTGCTCTTCCAAATCATCCCACTGGGGTGGGTTTGGGAACCCTGGGACCTGGCTGCCTTCCCTGGGAGCACAGCGAGGAGGGATTAGATTCCCAGCTTTCCTGCCTGCTGGAGGACAAAGCAACCAGAGGGCTCCAAATCATTATTCACCTCCCAGCCCCATGACATGGATGTTGCAGACTACAACCACTGAGGAAGGTAAAAGCGCTGCTGGCCTGCACTGGGAAGGTTCTGCTGTGGGTTTAAGGTGTACTTGAGGAGACTGTCTCAGAGTTGGGCCATTCCTGGGGCAACAACTCTAACCTCGGCCCTGTATTTTTTGGATTAAGGTTCTTTGTTACCTTCTCAGTCCCAGGGGACTTGGCTGGAGCCTGCTGGCTCCCCCGGAGCAGTGCTGTAAAGACCCCTCCTCAACTACACTCCTGGTGTATGTTATTGTTTTTTGAGGGAACAGTAATAATGCTTCTTGTGGTTGTGACATGATTAAGAATGAGAGGCCCTGACTGTCTCCATCGATCAGTGCCTGCAAGCTCAGAAAGTCAATAGGCAGCTGCAGGCTCTGCCCATGGCCAGGAGCCAGGGCCACCACTCAGTGAGGTTGGCTTAACCCCTGAGATGCTGCAGTCAAGGTTCCTCCTGCACTATCCAGCAGCAGGACCATGGGAGGACTCTGTTTCCTTAGGTGTGGGACTTGAGAGAGAATGGGCAAGGTCCCAGCAGTGGTTTGCATCTTGCAGTGTTCTAGGATTAGCAAAAAGAGCTGTGTGGCTTCATCAGGATCTTGGTGGCCCTTCATCCTGCATGGGTCCTACATGTTGCCCAGCTTTCTCCTCTTCCCCCCTTGACATGGTGCTTCTGCTCCCAAGTATTCAGTTGCCTGGCAGGACGGATGTTGCCCTCATGACGAGGCAGTCTGTGTTCCTGCCCTTGGTCCAGGCAGATGCAGACGCTTGGCCAGGCTCCTCTAGAGTGGCCTTGCAAAGCCAGGCAGCAGCAGACGCGTTGTCCCCAAAGATGTTGCTCCACACCCTGAAACAAGACGTGATTTGCGTTCTAGCACATCCTGCTTTTTTGTGTGGCCAGAACAGAATGTAATACAGCATATTGTGCATAGAGAAGTGATGAACTTGCAGAGCCAGGAGCTGCAACTACATTAAAATACTCTTTTTCAATTACAGCAGCTCCTCTTTTAATTTGTTTATTATTAACCCTGCACATAGCTCATGAATTTACATGACACCTCAATGTGTGTGGCGAGGAACATTTCCTATGCCTCCATCTGATAGAAAGATTTCTCATTTGCAATCAGGCAGGTGCACTGAATTAATGTACCAATAATATTCAGCTATGTTAATATTGGCCAACACTCATTTAGCTCTGTTTTATTCATCGTGTCTGTTTGTTCATTTATCCCAGTTATTTTACAACACAAAGAGCTTGTGCCACTGGGAAAGCTGCGGAGCAGCCTGGTTGTGGGAGGTTTCAGAGGACTCATCTGGGAGGAGGGTGGTTTAGGATGACTTGGGTTTCTCTGAGTGTTGGATAGAAGGAAATATGGCTCTGAGGAGAGCAGCAGTCTCTTTGATGGGTACTCTGCACTGGAATGAAAAAAGTGGAATAGGGGAAATGTGCTCCTTTGAACGTGATGAGCTGCAGCGTTACGAGCAAACTGCAGCTCTGCACTGGCCCTACTGTGTGCTTGGAAGTCTGGTTGTTGGGGTGCTCTGGGCTTGATCAGCTTGTTCCTGGGAAAGGCTGGTCACAGAATGATAGATGTAACTTCCAAGACCATGCAGTCATTGCGTCCCAAAGGGTTTATTACCCCAAGGACAGATTTGCATCTCTGAGGTGTAAAAGGATCCCTAAAACCCTTACTGGGGTTCTGAAAGGCTTGACGTGTTCAGGGTGCCCTTTTTACCATCAGCAAGCACCACTTTACCTATGAGACCCCAAATACTGCAAGAAATTCTGTTGTAGAATTTTATGACCAGGGCTGAAAAATAATCTGAGAGAGACACTTAAAGCAAACTCTGAGGCTCCCTCAGCACTGTGGGCTGCTGGGCACCACTGTCACTGCCTGCTGCTTGAGGAGCCTCAGCACTAACACTGAGGTTTCAGTTGAAACATTCCCTTGAAATATTGCATTAGTGTTTGCACTCAGCATGGCATTTTAGAGCACTGCACCAAATGAAAGTTGAAGTCCCCATCCCTTGCTGCTATATATCAGCAAATCTCTATTTACATAATGAGTGACACAGATTTACACCAGCTGAGGGGCTGGCGTGCTGTGTTTCTGAAAGGCATTCATGAATTTCGATTTACAAAGTGCTTTGTGGGGTTGATTTTCCTCCAGCCCATTGCCCCCCGCTGCTCCACCCCACAAGGAAAAGACCTCACACACCCAACATGGAACAAAGGGAGGTGTTTATGTATAAAAACATTGCATCGATGTTTGTCAGACAGAGTACCCACAGAGAGGTAAACAAGCTCATTCCTGATCCATCACTTGCTGGACTGGAGTTAAAGGAGAAGAGAGAGAGGGAAGAAAGTTTATTATAGAAAATGAGTCTGGCCTAAATTATTTATTGTGCTTCTGCTCCAGCAGATGGGCCTGGCCTCTGCACCACAGCAGCAGAGGCAGGGGCTCTGGTGGCAGCCAGGCTGACTAAACAGCATGAATGTAACATCAGGAGCTTGCCCTGAAAACGGGGTATCCCGGTGTGTTGAGCAGACTCGCTTCAGCACCGGGTTTGTTGCTGGGTTTATTTTTTCCTTGCCAGCTCCCCGGGGCAGTGCTGTTGCTGCAGAGGGGATCAGTGCTGTTATTCCAGGCAGTTGGTCCAGGCTGCTTGTGGTGCAGTCCTTGGCTCTGCCCTGTAATTGTGGTGTGGGTCCAGCCACAGCCCGGCTGGGTGATGGTGGACGGTGGGTGATGCCCAGCTAGGGCAGGGTGGAGCACAGCAGCTCTTCACCCCCACCCTGGAGCTGGGCTCTAATTTAGTGCTTGAATGGTTTGGGTTCCTTTTTAAGAGGGAGATCATGAGGGAAATGTTAAGTTGAACATGGTGTAGAGGGAAGGGAAGAACAGGGAGCAAAAGCATGCACCAAGATCTTGTTGGAGGACAGTGGGGCAGGAATAAATCAGATGCTTTGGTTTGGTTCGTTGGTTGGTTAAAAATGTTCTGATTTTTAGGGACCTTGTGACTGTTTTCCTTTCCCTCATCCCTTTCCCACCTTTATCCACCTCTCTCTGCCTTGTGGGGGGAGCGTGTGACTTCCTGGGTCAAGGTCTGGCTCTTTGGTGTCCCTGTAGATTGCCCATAGATGTCTGTGATTTGTGTCAGGGTTTTGCTTTTGCTTTTGTTTGATGTCTGCATGGGCTGGGTGGCTTCAGGCAGGTCAAACAAAGCAAGAACTAACATAGGTGCTTGTTTCTTGCCCTTTCAAGAGCTTTGCTTCTCCACAGATAGATTTATTATTGGTGTTTACTGACTAGGGGAGTCTCCAAGTCCTCAAGCTTGAGCTGTTGGCCAGGCAGCCCTGCCTGCCTTGCCATGGACTGAGCACCAGGGCTCTTCTTGGCCTCACTGGGACATGATAAGTCACTCTTGCCTTCAGCTTCTTGAGCTGGTGTGAAAACTGTGGTCAGTCATGCACATTGAGTAGCTGGATATCATCCTTGCTGCATATAGGATTGCTGGATGGATGTGCAAATTTGGGTTGACTCCAACTTCTTGCTAAGTACGCAATTGGGAATGCAAATAATCTATGGGCTGTCTTAGGAAAATTGGCCATATTTGATTATTTATAGCTTCATCAATAGATCTTTTACTTGCATGCTTGTTTCTTTAGTTGAGTTAAAGATACTCAACTGATGTTAATCAGCACAGCTCCATGGGGATCCTCAGAGTCCTGCTGATTTACAGCCACTGACAGGATCACTCACTCCATTGTAGATAGAAGTAGCCTCATAGGACTAAAAGAAAGATGGAAGAGAGAAAAATGGAATGACCCAGATGACTGAACATGTGCAGAAATGTATTTATCTTTCCACGTTTCAATCTCACTGACCTGAGTTATGAATTTTCATATACGCTTTTAATAGGTTTTAACAGACCCAACTAAACATTGATTCCATTAACTTGGCACATTGTAGAGACTTTATTGCTCACTTGAAAATTGCATATGGCAGACCCTGGAAACACGAAGGCCAGGATGTAACAAGAGGGAATCACTAAGGAAAACTGTGCATTTTACAGACGTGCTTCCACAAAATTTGCCATGGCATTGGGATGCCAACACATTCAATGTCAGCCTGTCAAGATAGGGAGCCTTTTGTATCATGACATAAGCCTTTACAGCCATGACTACTTATGCATGGACACGACTAGAATGATGCTATAGAAGTTTATTTCTATTCTTGTTTCTTGTAGGGACCACCTGGCCGCCCAGGGCTTCCAGGAGCAGATGGTTTACCAGGACCACCAGGGACAATGCTCATGCTGCCAGTAAGTACAAGCTTAACTAAGAAAGTGTTTAAATGAATCAGCTTCTTGGCTTTGTTACTGCTTAGTGCCTGTTCTTGTAGAAGTCTCCCATCTCTTTTACATCAATGACACATTTCCCTTGATGTAAAAGATGGATCCAAATGGTTCCCCTGGTAGATTTACTTTTTGCAGAGCACTGTAACTTCTTCACTGGTCAAAAGCACAGGGCAGGTAGGACAGAATTTCCAGAAGGGATGAATAAGCTTACGTGTTTCTGACTGGGCTGGAAAGTCATGAAGAAGCAACTGAAGACGCTTCCAAGGGCAGAATCCTCCCTTCTGCAGTGAGGAACCTCAAACAGGTCTTCAAAGCAGGTGCTACAATTGTAAGCACCTGAATGAACTGGTCTCTTTTGATGACCTGTGGTTAATTTGCATTGAAGCTAGCAAGTACCGAGTCAGCCTTCTTGGTCCTGGGATGCTCAAAGGAATGGTTATATTTTGTGTCTGCTTTGATGTGAGAAAACTCTATGGAAACCAGCTGCTGCAAATGAGTGGTTAGGTACCAAAGGGAAAAAATCGTTAGTGAAAAACCACAGTGCTCTTGTCCGGGCTCCAAATGGGAGGGTGATACTTGTGTAGGTTCCTGGCAGGATGCCTGGGACAGCCTGGGCCAAGTGCTCAACATGGAGCTTAGCTGGCCATTACAATACGTTTGTTGGTCCCTACACTCACGAACTGTAGGCCTATAAATTGCATCTCTTTGAAGCTGCTTGCCAAGTTCACGTGGTCATGTACCTAGCGCCAACCAAGTGAAAGGCAGAGGTGAAATGGAGGTGAAAGAGCTGTCCAAGTAGGTTCTGCAGCCAGCAGAGTCCTTCTTGCAAAACCCCAAATGCACATGCAGCTAAAGCAGGAGAAGGGTGTGTGTCCTGGGAAGTGAGCTTGTAGCTGTTGGGGGTGGGAGAGGCAGAAGAAAACATGA